TGTAGTGAGAAACCTGTATGATAGATTGATAGTACGGGGGTTCATAGTCGTCAAATATAAAGCAAAAAAGCCACGTACTCCTACCACTGCGCATTGCAATGGAATTGTAGTTACATCCATTAGTATATGCTGAGCACCCGATTCCAGTCCCGACAAGATCAGACAGACGAAAACTGACGCGTTATTGACAAGATAATCTAGCCCCTTCTCATTGCCTAGTAGGGACGCTACCTCTTCTCGACAAGCTAGCACGCTTTGTTCCTGGTCGACATCCAGACTCAATGTCTCAATGCCCCGTTCTTTCAGGTCGGCAATAGTACTCTTGTCTCTTGCTGTCGCAAAGACTCTGAGGCCATGTCGCTGAAACTCGAGCGCCAACGAATGGCCTATACCTCCAGGAGAGCATCTAAAAGATAAGTTAGACTTTTGAATGCTATCCTAGAGCTGGGGGCTTCGTCGGACTCTGGAAACTCACCCTGTGATGAGGACTGATTTACGACTGTCCATTGGGCTAGACGAATGTTCAAAGCCGCAGCGGACTGAACGAGTGAACGCGGGGAATGGGACAGCTAGTGAGATAAATGCCAAGAAAATGGTATCTTGTTCAAAATGAATGTTGAGCCGAGTTACTGCGAGGTAACTTGTAAACAGGTACATCCATAACTTACACAATAAGCCCGTGATCATAGGGCTCTGATGACATCATCACTCATATTATCAATTCTCCGCTTCCGACGAATGACTAAGCCATTAACTCCGGAAAGGGATGTGTCAAGGTCCGGGATAACAGTATCTCCGATTGACCTGTTGTACTCGGATGCTTCATTTCATCTCAGCTTTCTTCACGATGGTTGAAGGTGAATCCCATCGACGATAAGACACTGTACATACAGTAGTTATTCGATGAAACTACTGGTTGCTTCAAGAGCGGGATGTGCAATTGTCGATCTTGTGAACTCATTGGACGCTCAGACCGAACCCAACTGTACTTTTGAGACGCTGTTCAAGATTTCTCCACACCAAGATATGTAACATGGAATGTCGAATATCCCCTCAACTTTCCTTTCTCTGAGAGCATCGTTCAATGTTTCATATCAATTAAGGCACTAAGAATATCAATTGTGCTCTATTTATGTCTGCCAGATTGTCTCTCAATGTGGTTCGTGATGCCACTGATAAGTTGGTATACTGTGGAAGATGCAGAGTTGGTCCAAAGCCCCAAGGCACCTTCGAAGGCCTGGCGACGACGGATACAGGACACCAACTATTGAAGATGTAGAGAATGACACCGTCGCCACTGCCCCTGAATTCCCACCAGAGACGTTTAATGATGAGTTATCGCCAGTCTCCACTGTGATCTCACGATATCGCCGAAGCTATGTGTCCCAAACCAATGGCGTCCAGATCAATGGCAATGGCAATAGCAAAGGACCTACTGTCCCAAGCGACAACAACTTGGTTACGGGCTCTCCTCTCACGTTGGTTGAGAGCTTCCCAAGTAAGCTGCCGTGGAAAGAGAGAATGCGACATTTTACTTGGGCGTATTTCACTCTGACTATGGCAACGGGGGGCCTGGCAAATGTTCTTTATCATGGTACGTCCTGCCTCTCCTCTTGATCCCATAAATGACTGAGATATCTTGCAGTTCCTTATCGATTTCGGGGCCTGGAGACCATTGCCATTATGATCTTCATCACGAATATGGTCCTATATGTGATCATCTGGTCGTTGTTACTGCTGCGATTTTATCTATTTCCTTATACCTTTAGAGCGTCATTTCTTCATCCGACAGAATCTCTCTTTGTTCCAGCGTCTATTGTATCTTTTGGCACCATTCTCATTAATATCTCCCAGTTTGGACCGTCTCACACAGGCCAGTGGCTCCATGATGCTGTAAGCATCCTGTTTTGGTTTGATGCCGCCTTAGCTGTTACCGCATCTGCTGGTATATATCTTGTGCTGTACGTTAGTAAGTGTGCTCTACGGTCATCTGCATCGATGCTGATCTAGATATAGGTGGTCTACGCAAACATTTACGATCGCGCAGATGACTCCTATTTGGATATTTCCTGCGTATCCAATGCTGATAGCTGGTCCTCATGCGGGTGTTTTGAGCGCAAAACTGACTCAACCCAGTGCATGGCGGATCATTATTGGAGGTACCACCATCCAAGGTGTCGGGTTTTTGGTGTCCATGATGATGTACTCTGCATTTATCTATCGCTTAATGACACAAAAGCTACCGAAAGAGAATTTGAGGCCCGGAATGTTCGTCTCTGTTGGTCCTAGCGCGTTTACTGTTGCTGGACTTGTTGGGATGGGCAGTAATGCTCATCGAGCCGTCCCAGATGGCTTTCTGGGCGACGCGGAGCTCAGCGCGAAAATCATTTGCGTTGTGGCGTACTTTGGGTCGCTCTGGCTTTGGGGGTCAGTCTCACCATAATCACACGAATAATGCAAGATTTACTGTTTGGTTAACGATTTTCTTAGGCTGGCAATTTTCTTTTTCTTCATTGCGGTATTCGCACATACTTCGACCGTTGGTCGTTCAACAATGGTTTTCTCCATGACTTGGTTCTCTTTCGTATTTCCGAACACTGCACTGATTACTGCCACGTTTGCAATTGGAGGAGCATTTTCAAACCGCACCTTTAACATTATCGGCTGCGTGTTGACGGTCTGTCTCTTTTTTACCTACTTTTTCGTCGTGTTTATGATGATTCGAGCAATTAAACTGCGCCATATATTATGGCCTCAGAAAGGCGAGGATAGGGATGAAGGAGGATTTAAGACCGTCAGTGCCCTTCCTGGGTAGCCTGATGGTGCACAAGAAACGCAAGATACAAAACACAATGTACATGGATTTGAGTGGTCTTGCTGATTGTTCACGAGTTGCATTCTGCTTCTCTGAAGAACACCTTAACCATACTACTGGAAGGCCTATATGGAAAAACTAAACAACATGCCTAACCTTCCCCGTCTCGACCTCATAAATCCAACCAGTGATGGGAATGCCAGGGACCACCAAATTCTGCCCCTTCAACCACTCCACATCAGCTTTAACTGCCTCCTCCAGATTCGGAAATGGTTGAAAGTCCATTGCCTCGAGTTCTGATTTGACTTGTGAACCGAGGTTCTTTTCTGCGACTGCGCGTGCATCTTCGTTTTTAAAAGTAAGCATTCCACAGCCGGTATGCTTGACGAGAAGAATTTCTTTTGTTCCGAGTAACTGTTGGGAGATGACGATTGAGCGGAGTGAATCGCGGGCGTTGGCCCCTGCGTTTCGAATGATGTGGGCGTCGCCGAGATCGATACCGAATGCTGCTGCAGGGTCGATTCGAGCATCCATGCAAGTTACTATGCGACATTATTAGGTGTATTCCTTCCAAATCCCTTGGGGTTTGGATGAGTATACTGGGTACTTACGGACAAGGTAGCTCTTTGCTGGGGGAAGAGCAAGGTGACCCTTGTCGAATTTAGAAGCATATTCTGCATTTCTGGATTGCAGGTTTTGCTGGATTTGGGTTGCCATTTTTGAATGTGTACTGCTTTGTTTCGGACCCGGTGAAATTGCTGAATGAATTGAATCGAGAAAATGGTTCTTTGTTCTTTGTTGGGATCTTGAGCATTCAGCTGGTTGATATGGGAGATATGCATGCTATTAATACATGCTATTACTCCTTACCCAAGAGAAAATGGAGCCCTATAGAGGACTACGTTTTGGTTTCTCCCGCGCTTGTCTCTAAGATGTTCTCGACAGCCTTCTCAAACACACATCACACTTTTCAGGTTCCTGGTTCCCTCCATCTTACCCCAGATCACACACCTTGAAATTTGGTTCACTTTTCATTCTAAAAGACGGGAAGAACTGAAGCGTCAGCATTCGGGAGGTTAAAACGACGGGCTCGATCTACCCCACTCCCGCCAAAGTTCTTCATGCGGTTACTTGGCCCTAGCAAAGTGCTGTTCTGTAGCTTTCGTCCTTGTTAGACGTTTGACATGATGCCGGTGAGCATTTGGAGATTTAGTTAACTACGAAACTTGGAACCGTGTGTGCTTGGAGAGTCAATTCCAAATCGCAGCCACGCCGTGTCAAGTTGGCTTACACACCAATTGGGTTTAAAAAAGACATCTTCAGGGCCAGTTCGGATCCCTTCCTGAAACCTTTCCACACCTCGCTTAACTCCAGACGGGCTGCTGTGCCTAGTTACATAGTAGTGGCTACATAAGTTAACTACACTACTGCTGTAGCAACTCAAAATCATGACTGATGTAGTTAACTCGCTAAGTATACAAAGCACTATGACTACAAAGCTTAACCAGAAGGCTCCAAACACAATGATTCAAGATCTGTGAAATCTAGAGCTAGATGCAGTGCAGAAGGTGCTAGGGAGAAGTGCTTTTTCAGCCAAAGCTCCGACTGGACTATCATCAGATCTTGGTCCCGAAACTGAGCATGTCAGAGTGCAAGCACATCATGGCGTTAAAGATGTCGGGATATCGCGACCACTATCTCGATTAGCCACATATGTAACTTCTACATACTACAGAGTATTCCGTGTGAATTCGTGACGTCTTTACTTTCAACATCTCTACATTAGTAGTTACAAGCTTGAACAGTTCAGCCATAGCACGCCATCTCTAGCTTTCTGCCTTAATTAAGTCTGTGGGCAGTTTCTCCTTGAGTTCTCGCGCAATATCTTGAAACAATGGCGTCTCAACAAGCTCTAATTACGAAATGGATTGTCAATAATCCTGGAGTCTGTGAAGGTCCAAGATATGCGATTGCCACAGCCTGAGCATCCAGGACTGTGCTCGCAAGTACGTCAAGGTATGAGGATTTAGATATGTAACTAGCAGAGGAGGAAGAAACTGTGTGTCTACCAAATCGCCGATTTTTATCGTCTCTTGATGGAATTGATACATAAAGAAGAATTAGCTACAGATGGACTGTGATGCGATCAAATAAATAAATATTGTCGAAAAAAGAAAAAATATATCGACGCGAGCAGGATTCGAACCTGCGCCCCCGAAGGGAAGAGATAGCAATCACTCGCTAGGAATGGGTTCTAGTCTCTCGCGTTAACCACTCCGCCATCGCGCCTCTTGTTCAAAATTTATTAGATTTTGAAATTTTAAAACTATTTAGATACCTGACGGGACAAGTATCAAGGAACCAGCCCAGAGCCTCAGGTATCTTGAGAAGGAAAAATAAACATGAAAAGAAATTCATTGTTTTACACGAAGCAGAATTCTATAGACAAAATCCATGGATATAACTAACTACGCCGATATGTGCACCGAGAACCATTTCCGACATTCCCTCTCCTCTATCATTTGAACACAAGTGACAAGCCCAACCGTATGGGATGCTCTAACACCGAAACAAAATTCCGAGGCCGGACATTAAATACGCCGAAAAAACAAGCAAAACTCATTAAGAAGGTATTGGAGATTGTTATCACAGAATGCCGTGAAAAATATAGCACCGCCATATGACAGCCGCGAATCCCAACAGTTATATGTTTGGCGATAGCTGATCGTACTTGACGCACCATTCAACGCTACTGACGCTCGCTTGGAGGAAACTCCGTGCTTCAAGACCCATCCATACTCGTAGCATGGAAGTATCGCCTTCACGAACGGACTTGAGAAGAGTTGTACCAGATCCAAGTTGACGCAGGATGGGGAGTGCACTGTTCAAATAAATGAGTATTAATCAAAAACGCACCCAAACGAGACGGCCAGAAAACCAAAAGCGGTCACGTACCTTTTGAATAAATCTAGATCTGGGTCCAAACTTCTCCCAATGCCCTCCAAGAGCAAAATGGAAATGACAACATTGACAAAGTCTCCTTCAAGTCGTACATGGTGCGCTCGCACCAGATACAAAACTTCGCTCAAAACATCTCCGATTTTAACATTGCCCAGTGCAAATGTTCTGCCCTTGACGCCAAGAACGAGGTGCTGTATTTTCAGAGCGAAAATTTCTAGATCGAGGACTGTATCGGGCTGTCTCGAACGTTCAACCATGAGATGACCTGCTTTATATCCGTCAAATTCGGCGATGGCGCGGAATAAGTCAAGGAAATTGCGACGATTGGTGCTGTTAAGTTGAGTAACTAGACCTGTATCGATAAATATGATCTGCGGTCTGTAACCTTCGGCATCTATTTCCGCGAGTTCACGGCTCCAGGCATCGGGGTCCTTCTCCTGAGCCGCAAGCCTTGAAAGGACCTTTTCGGGTACGTCACGGTCAAGGGCATCCTTAGGATTCGGATTCAATGGGCGCCCACCTATGGACAAATCTAACTGCCCCGGCTTGTAGAAGCGAACCATGATATTTCCCGGATGAAGATCGGCATGCACAAAGTTGTCGATAAGAAGCATGTGTAGGAATGCATCCAGGCCTTCGCGTGAGATTTCACGGTCAAAGACACCCCCGCCATTATTTAGGAATGTGGCCAGAGGGATTCCCTGCGCAAACTCTTCGACAAGTACTTCTCTCGTGGTATATTCCGTGTACGGATAGGGAAACCAGGCGGTAGCTCGCGACTTGAAGTGTTGTCGAAATAGAGACAGGTTTGTCGCCTCAATCCGTAAGTCTAACTGCAATTTCATCATCTCACCGAATTTTGCTACTTCATCAGGTAATGACAGCCATTCCATGGTCGGAATAGCATTAATCACGCGGGCGAAAAACATCATTATTTGTAGGTCTCGTTGGACAATTCTTTCCACTCGAGGATGAAGGACCTTGACAGCCACATACGAGGAAGGAACCCGCTGTGGAGAGCTTTTTACCAACTTATCGACATTCTTGCGAACCTTTTCCCGTAGATTAACAGGATCAGCGGCCAAATTCCTCTCGTTCAAGGCTGCAAGATCAGGCCGAAGCTTGGCCTTGTAGACCTGGGCAATAGCACCCACGCCAAGAGGTTCTTTATCAAACTCCTCAAATATATCTTCAAACGGAAGCCCGTTAAAGGCTCTCCGGATTGTCCGTTTGGTAATACGGAACGAATGCGCCGGAGCATGGGAATGAAGCGACGACATGAATGCACACAATTCGGGGGGAAATATATCGGATCTCGAGGCTGCCCATTGACCTAGCTATATGACATAGAATTAAAAAGTCAGCATTACATCTGGCAACTGCGACGACCATGGCAGATTTTGGAAGAGCTTTCGAGTCTCGCACCTTGATAAAAGCGGGCCCAGCACGCTCCATGGACGAGACAAGGAACTCATACCACCACAACGTCCCACTCCTCTCATCGTCCCGATCTCTCATCCTTCGGCCAAACCATATGGCTGGAACTGTCACAACCACCGGCACAAATATAGCCACTAGATGCAAAAATCGTAATCCCGTCGCAATCACTTCAAATACGTATTTATCCAAGACAATATACACGCGCCAGATACTCCTCACAATAAAATTCGAATCTCTAGGCACAGATTTACGGATCTCGTCACGAGACGCCGCAAGCATCTCCAGTTCAGCCGTGGTGTCATCGTCGTCGTTCCCATCTTCTGCAAGTTCGAGAAAGGCAACCGGCGTTAATGCAGCCAGGAGGGCTGCTCCAATTGCTGGAGAGCGATTCCAACCTCGCCTCCATATGAATTGCCAACTCCGTCGGGAAGTAGACGAGAAGAGACGGGCAAACGGGGCAGACGAGTCTGAATAGAACGATCGATGGCGGGGAGCAGCTCTAGGTAAGCTTCGACAGCATTGACGACGGATGCAAAAGCGGCCAGCGGCGAGGGCCGTTCTCATGTTCTCTTGAAAGGAGTGCGATCAAAGATCATCAATGCAGTGGTGATCGTAAAATATCATCAACCGATGTATCGCTGGCTGCGCTGGAGAAGTTCTTGTTGAGCTCGAGAAGGCAGATTTTGGTGGAATGAGCCGAATTTAACTACTACTAAGTTACGTCACATGTTGCCGAGCAGAATCCATGAATCAAGTCGAGTCCACATCCTGAATCTCTCAATTGAAAAGACGTGATACATTATGTATGTTTTGGAAAATGGCAAACTTCAGTCTTCCATGGGCAATCCGGATACCAATTCTCAAGCTTTGCCAAACGCATATGCCAGGAACCAACTATGTAACTATATGAGATACAGTAATAGCAAGAATGATGGATCCGAGGTCAGAAATCATCCAATTTATACGTTAGTTGGAGCACCAAGTATCCCACAGTTCAGACTGAGAAACATATCAAGTGGCTGTATATTCCAATTTTATGCTTCGAACCGATCTAGGAATGGGAAATGCTAGGAAGAATAACTTAATAAGTAATATTGATCCTATTGATAAAACGATGCAAGCCTCTCAAGCCATACTCTAATTCAGACTCAGGCCATCTACGGATACATGATCATCGTCGTCTGGAGAATTCCCTTCCATATACCTCCACAATCTGCTGAGTTCGCGAACTGTCTTGACACTTGTGATATCGCTACTGGTCATATCTTCATTGATTGACAGACATCGTTCGTCTTCCGCAGATGGTGCCTTTGGCGGAACATTCAATGCCTTGTGGACAAATTGATCTCGAGCATTCGGCGTTTTCTCATCGATTTCAACAATCTGGTCTAAGAAACCTGGCTCATCGTCACCATGTCGATCTTCTGGAAGAGGAAACATAAAGTCAAGATAATGTTGGTTAAACATATGACCACTGGTGTTCATGCGAATGAACACCTTCCCTGCAAACCTGTTCTTCAGCATTCTGCGAACATTGTACAGAATTCCCCATCGGGGCACGGGGTCGTCGCCGTTAACATAATGCTCGATGTATCGAATCACTCCTGTCCGAGGGCTTTTGGAATCAGGGTCAATTGCACGGAGAGGATTGTTGAAATGGGAGGCCGCCGATCCAAACGTGTAGACTTCCAGCTTTGCCATATTTTCCGCAGGGAGATCCGTGAACAGCAGGTCCAAGACCATGGATATAATGATTGCTCCTTGAGAGTGTCCGATGAGAACAACTTTATGGACATTTGGATTCACTAGGTACGCTTTCACGTGGTCATAGGTAAAGCGGATAATATAATTGTTGTACGAAAACGACCGTTGAATAATACATTCAAGCAGATCTCCGATGAGACCGTATGTGGGATTGTGTATGCCGACAATGACGCGGCCAAATATCCGCGCGAGACGATCGCAGTTCTGTCGGAGGCCATAGTGTCTAAGGAAGAATGATTATCATGAAGTCCAAGTATTGATGACAACAGAACGACGACTCACGATTGGAGAATTCCATTCACAAATACCCACCGCTCATCTTTTCGTTTTAGAGCATTGATGATCTGGTCACCTTCCGGCTTTGAGTAGACGACGCTTGACCCACGAAGCGGAGCGCACATCAACCAGATCACCGCCAACAGGAGCACAGAAACAAGAACGTTGAGCAACCCAGGAAGCGCTACGCATGAGAGACCAATGGCACCAAATATCAGGAGTTCCACGCAGCTAACAATCACCAAGACAATCAAGTTGATGGGATTCCGAACTGTCAAACTCAACTCATCGCTACTCTTGCCAGTAGACAATGGCTGCAAGAGCTTTGGAAGGAAAGGTAACACGGCGAACAGGGTGCGTAGGTCTCGCCATACCAAGGCAATTGGAGTGTTTCGGGCCGTCGGCGGACTTGTGAGGGCGGCTTTGTCGATTTGCTCTGGAATATAGCAAACACGATGCCGCCCTGGCGCATTTATTTCCGCTGAGCGAGTGTCCGACATCACCGCAGGTCATCACCCAGGAAATACCAAACCATAGGTGTTAAAGATCAGTTGGGCCGCAAGAATCGTAAGGTCCGAAAAGGTATCAAAACACCCTCGAGTCAGGTTCGTTATATGAAGAAGCTACGATGCCGACCAGTGGCCGCTTCTCCTGCGTCGCTAAATCATCGACAGTATATAATTTCGAAGAGCAGATCTGCCAACAAAATAGCACTTGACTCACCGTCAGGACCAAGCACCAGCGAAGAGAGTAAAGTTATTAAACCAGCAAACCGTAGTGACGTGTGCTCAGATGATGCCCTCAAAAGGTTATTTCAAGCCTCGAAAGGCCAACCTTCGCGCCATCAG